ACTTTAAGTATATTTTCCTGATACTGACATACTTTCACTGAAGCAACATTTTCAATGCAGGACCTTTACAGTGTGTTATTTAAGTAAATCTGAATACTTCATCCATTCTCACTTTACTTCATTCACAATTAATTGGCTAATAGTTTCAGCTTCAGAAATATACATTTCCTGCTAGAGCCCACAACTACAAATCATCAAAATGTATTGGCAATGTAAGAATATGGTGTTTACTGGTGTAAATTATATTCTTTATTAAGATGCCCTACTGAGTAGCCTACTTTTGATACTTTAGGTACATTTTCCTAACACTGACATACTTTTACTTTAGTTACATTTTAAATGCAGGACTTGCACAATGTTATTTAAGGAAATTATCTGAATACTTCCTCCACCTCTGCAGGTTATCCTAACAAAATACACCTGTGTGGCCGTCTAAAAACACAGATATTCAGTTTACAGTCACATGTGGCCGTCTACTCAGTATGGTTGCTAGTCTTCGCAAGGCAGGAAAGGGTTAAAAGTGTCTGCCACACTGTAGGCGTGTGAACCCAGACACACAAAACACACACAGCCACAGTTCTTGTTTCCCAGCCACGGTTTAGTCACACAGAAAGCGAGCAGAAGACGGTCGACCTCTCAGGTAACTTACAACCGTTGGAGAAGAAGTCAAAAAGTAAGTTTTCGCTACGTTAACCGTGTTTATACATATATCTAGCTAGTAATATAACATGAGCTATGCCAGAGTATGTGGTAGCGTTGGTAATTTGTCTGTAGCTAGAAAACGGTCTGTCTAACTCCAGAACAAGATAAAAGCTGTTGGTAATTGATAAAATGTCTAACGTTACTAAAGTATAGCAGAAAGTTAAGGTCACAGCCGTTGGCTAGCGTTCGCTGCGTTGACTGAAAAGACGTTAGTTTATGGTTGACGTAAACGTTCGATAAAGCTTTGAACTGACCAACGGTAGTAACCGAACTGGTTTGGTTCGATAACCGTTGTAACGTGTCGAAGTTGGTCAACTTTACTGTCAGTTCGTCCTCCTGTTTGTGAAACAAGGGCTAATAACTTAGAAAAGTACAGTATTATTATTATTATCATTAGTACTGTATAGTAACGTTAGCAACCTGTCGGCTCAACCTCGAGGGAATATGTATGCAGTCATTTTTAAACTGGTTTAACAGCAAACATGTGATGTGTGGCATTAGTATTGTGATTATGAGTTATTTACAGGTTATTTTCCCTTACTTTTGGACTGCCTAAACACAAAATAAGCAAATGAAAACAAGATAAAATAAATGTCAATAAGAAGTATTGATGCAAGTAAGTTAAAACAAACACTGTAACCGTTGAAAAGAAAATTAAAACAGGATGAATTGAAAGATTTTAGCATTAAAAATGTGTCCTCTGCTCAGTGAAAGAAAAACGGATGTATTTTAACATTGTAATCCTGTTTAATTAATAATCCCCATTTTTACACCCATCTTATTATGTCTTTTTTTTTTGTAACTATTGGATTTCAGTACCTTTTTTTTTGTATTCTGATTACATTACTCAGTTACATGTAACTCTGCTACTCCCCAAGCCTGGTTATTTCTTTGCTGTTGGTCTTTAAAGAATCTGCAAATGTTAAAGCATATATCAAGGGACCATAATATGAAGTACCTCTAGGATTAGCTTCATGTCATTATTATTAAAGAAATTAACCACACAATGTCTCAGGATAACCTCCGCGGAGACCTTTCCTTAGTGATGGAGCCATCAACTTTGATGTGCAGCTGGTTGACAGGAACAAGGTTGTGAGCTGTACAGAGCTAGTCCTGTGGCAGAACTGAAAGAAGCAGTAAGTAAGGGGCCTAACCACCACACTGAAGGCAACATCCCATTGCCACACTGCTCTTCAGGTGCAAGGTTTTTAGAAAGGTTGCGGTTTACGAGCAGAAATGCATGTATATTCGTAGGCAGCATAACAAGCAAAATTCACTCTCAACTTTCTGTTTTTCTCTCCACTTAAGTTTCAAACTGCAGAAAATTCAATCCATCAATAATTCAGTGACAGGATTTGAAATGGTAATTTGTTATGTAGAAGTTTGCTTTTGGGTTTTGCAGATTGGCCATCATCGTCATTCAATGGGACACGTTAACCCTCATAACACATCTTGAAAAGAGAGAAAAGCTCTAGGTGGTTTGATGCTGTGAGGCTATGCGTGAATGAATCCTCATATTGCTGAATCCATTGCAGAGTCCGCTCAAAAAAAGTCCAAAAGATTGCCCCTGTCGCTGAGAGCTAATGGTTTCATCCTGTCACCAAAGCCACATCTTTTCCTTATTTGTGTTTTATATCATGAAATAAATACTTTAGTGCTGCTTGGTTTTAGCTGACCAGACTGAGAAAGCAATTTCAAGTAGATTTGCCTCTGGTAGCTTGTAATAGTTCATTGTTTTTTGTGTATAGACACAAAGACTATTAGTAATATCTAGTAGTAACAACAACAAGTTGTGCTCTGTTTATTCTTGTCATCACACATGCTTCATCATTTCCACTGGATGATGGGAAGTTACCTGGCTCTAAAATGTCATACGGTAACAATGACAAAATGGGAAATCCCCTTCAACCCCCTGGAAGTTATTGAGACTAATAGCTTTTTTCCTATAGATGTTTTAGAGTTAAGCTGTTTCATCTCACTCGAACAACGAAGCTAATTTCTTTTAGTTTCGTGGTAAAACTGCCACTGTAGACAATGAGTTACATCCTGTCTGTACAGAAGGGGTAAACAAAATTGTTTGTTACCGATGTTAAAGCAGGCAGTATTAAGGGCTTTGGTAGCAGGGTGGTGTGGGCAGGTTCCTGCCAGAGCGATGGCTGCACAGATGTGTTAAATGGGTCATATGTGAATATGATAGGAGGATGGAGGTTGGCACAGAGCTGGAGTTGATCCATGCTGCGCCATTATAGACAGTTTAGACCATCTGCCACTAATGCTGTGTTTATAATCACACTGTAGCACCTTTGTTCAGTGGACAAACACTGAACACTTCCTTTACTGCAATATCTGTTTGATACTGAACACACCTTAGGCCAAACCACAGGGAGGAAAGTGGGGGCTACACAGGGGAAAACTGCTGTATGAACTGAAGTCACAGTTTTTCTTTTCTACACGTGTTTTTTACACCGTAAGCCTGAGCTTCGTGTTTATACCATTTCAGATGAACTACACTGTGTTTTGATTTGAGAAGCATTATAAATGGTAGCTGTTATACAAGGTCATATTGGCACTGTTACTTGGAATTGCTGTTCTCTGCTCTGCTTTGAATTTCCATTGCACTTTCCAGTCCTTATTTTCACCTCGGAACAGATTTGTCATTGGCTTTCAGGGAGTTCAGTCTGACTAGTTTTGTCTAGGTAGGTTCTGTGATAATATACCCCTAAAGGAGCCCCACAGCTTCCAGTATGTGCTCAATGTGTGAACCTACAGGGCTGAAACTATATTTAT